GTTCGATATGTTTTCAAAACGCAGGAGCCCTTTAAGTAACGTGCACATATTTTTAAACATTCGAAAATTTGTGTCTGTACTAAATGACACTCTTAATCAATGGTCTCGAGATATCCTAAATTTCAGTGTTTTGTTTTCAAGTAGGATTTTTCTTAATTAGGACATCATTAGTATAGAAGTAAGAGATAACTAGGAGGCTTCGCCCCCTGCTCGCTGGCGCTCGCCAACCCCCGGAAATGCTTTCGCAGTACATTTCGGATTGCTTCGCAATCCGATGCTCGCTTTGCTCGCTCATTGGATACGTTCTTAACGTCTAGCTTTTGTATACTTTTTTGAACACTGAAGTTCCGACCACTTTTCACTGTAGAAAATTATAATCCTGTGCATTTCAGTATTAATTTGAAATTGCAAACAGTTCACATATTTTTCTTAATCACACTATTCTAAATTTCAGTTGTTGAGAAAAGTAACTGTTGTAAGTTTTGTTTTAAAGTCTTTCCCACCAGAGGGCTAAAACCATGTGTTGTAAAACAATATGAAATAGTACTGAACGCCGGATGTAAAGCATCGGCTTCGATGAAGAGAATTTTGTGAGAATTTTTTTGATAATTCGGTGATAATTCACCCGATTAGACATATGATGCTCACTACGTTCTCTTGCTCGCCGAAGCCTATCAATTAAAACGTATTAACGTTTTATATAATATAGATTAGCCATATGATGCTCACTACGTGCTCTTGCGCGCCGAAGTCTATCAATTAAAAATGAAAACTGTTGCCAACGCGAGAAAAGAAATATCATCGGTTTTATTGATACATACATATGTACGTATTAGCGTTTTATATAATATAGATAGAAGATATGGTTTAGGTTGGCACCGTATTCAGATTATTGTTATATTATGATTAGATTCGCACCAAAATTGCAAACGGTGTCTAGCAACAAAGGCCAACTAGTTAAACTAATTTAATTTAAAAATGAGATTTAGGTGAATCCTAAACATAACAAAAAACACGAAATATTTATTTCAATTCTTATTAGTCGAACAGAAATATCTGATCCATATTTTTAAAAACCACAGATTTATTTCTTTGATAATGAGGAAGCATCGCACTTAAGGTTGCCAAATCACTTTTCACTCTCAATCCTAATGCGCTTCATTAAAAAAAAATTTCGTCTGTATAAGTGACATCTCCAAACTCAATTCGAACCCCGTTTGAAGAAAATAGCAAAGATAACCTGCGACTAGTTACGTTGCCTAGGCAACTCTCCTTTTTCTCTATAAAGACCCCAAGTCAGTTGACCCAGAAGAGCCACCAAGGGTCCTATATATTGGTTAATATCACCGGAAACTACGTCTCGTTGCCCAATAACGTTTCTTAAGTGAGCCCTGGGACGGAGTTCTTTTTTCTCTCTGGGGATATAAAACGGTTAATAAATCTCGGTTGTGATGTCGCCTTCGAATTATTAGGGAGTGACAACGAATAGCTGAGGTTGGAATGACCCGTCGTAAATTAAGTAAAAATATTTAGTGGCGAGAATTATTTCAGATATTGCTGAATTCGAGAGGAAAAAGTGTTGATGGTTTGTCCAAAAAGGAAATACTCTAGTGGAAATAGAATTTTAAATAAGAGTGATTTTGACACGTTTTAGAAACATTTATTTCTCTTAACGCTTAAATGCATCGCATATTTCGCAATTTCCTGAACAGTAAACAATTCCGGATCAAATTGCAGTAAAAAATACTGCACTCTGAGTGCAGAATCCGTAAAATTCATTTACGCCTGAATTTTTACTTAATTACAGTGATTAAGTGATTTGACAGTAAATATTACTGTGAAAGTTATGGGATATCACATTTTTTGTTAATTAAAATTTTACGATAAGAAGTACTGGCATTCTGAGTGCAACATCTGTAAAATCTATTTTACCATAAGATTTTACACCTTAATTTTTACTTAATTACAGTGATTAAGTGATTTTACAGTAAATATTACTGTGAAAGTTACGGGATATCACATTTTTTGTTGCTTAAAATTTTACGATAAGAAGTACTGGCATTCTGAGTGCAACATCTGTAAAATCTATTTTTACCATAAGATTTTACACCTTAATTACAGTGATTAAGTGATTTAACAGTAAATATTACTGTAAAGATTACAGGACATTAGATTTTTTATCTCTTAAAATTTTAAAGATAAAAATGGATTTTACGGTAAAAAGTACTGGTAAACTTAGAGCCGGCACCTTATATCAAAATTTTTCATAGTGTACTTTAAATACAAATTAACAACATATTTTTGATTTCCTTTCAAAATCATATTCATTTTCTAACTTAATTTTCCTTCCAAAAAAAAAGTGTGACAATTGTACTTTGTAATGAAGAGACAATGCAATGATGAAGCAATTTTTAAAGTGTATTGTTCCTTTCATTAATTTTTTCCCTTATAATTAAAAACCGAAGAAACCTTTCTGCTTTTTGTAAAGCTTACATTTTTTTTTATATGTTGAGCGTCTGTCCATTTTTCTACGCCATTACTAAATTAATCCAGCAAATTTTGTGAAGACTGTTGTTGTTCTTGTAAAACCGTGTCACATTAGTTTCCCAACATCTCCATGAGAAAACGATGAACCTGATAAAAAACTCTTAAACCAGCAGAACAGTCGACTTCATGCCATGAAACTCTAGTAAATGCTGACAAATACTCAGAAACACTGATTAAAGTCAGAGTATGAATTCCAGATTGTAAAGGTAAAATGCTCCAACTTAAGCTTTATTTTTTCAAAACAGATCTCCCAAGCTATTATAAATCTAAAAAGAAACTTACCACCAGGGTAAACATTTATTTGTCCACTGTTTTGTTTTGACTGCCCTAACTACGATAATCTGCGTCTTATATAAACTAGGTTATTCATTGCAAGATTGCAAACTTCATTTGCTTCTGAAATAAACAGTGAAAATAATTTTTTGTGGCAGGGATTGCCTGGTAGGTAGGGCGTTGAGTCTATGTCCAAGAGGTCATGGGTTCATAGGCAAATCATTTATGAATCAAGTTGAAGTTAGGAATAAAGGAAAAATATCAGAAAGGCAATTTTTGTTACATAGTAAAAATAAGCTGTTAACTTCAGAAATTTCTACATGGCATATTTTGAAGAAAAATTATTAAAAATAAGTGCCTTGAATCAAAATATAATATCAATTGATATTATGAGAGGTCTATTGATACATCATTTCCGAATTAAGTAAATGTTCAGTACACAATAAACAGGAAAGTAAGTTAATTTTTTTTACTTTAACATGAGTAAAAAATAAACTGTTAACTTCGATTGTTGCAGAGAAACTAAAATATGATTGAAAATGAGTGCCTTGGTATAAAATATAATATCAATTGATGTTATGCAAGGCCCATTGATACATCATTTTTGAATTAAGTGAATGTTTAGAATACAAATAAATAGGAAAGTAAGTTTTTGTTACTTTAACATGAGGAAAAAATAAGCTGTTAACTTTGATGTAAAGAAATTTAAAGCGGTGTAAAGAATTTCAATAAGACTCCTATTTGAAGGAAAATGATTAAAAAAGAGAGTTTCGAAACGAGCTCTTCCCTTTTTGGAAAATTGCGATTTGCTTTCTGTTTCAAAATTATGTTTCTGGATAGAAGCCGTCGCGTTAGCGTAAAACTGCACTCATAAAACTTTTATGCGCCATCCGAGAAAATATAGATATATTAAAAAACAAAAAAAAACTTTGATGAAGCTTTGCAAGTTTCAGCAATTTGCGTAATTTTGCTTTTTATCACCGCAATATAACTAACTTACTTTAAAAGAAAAACTTGTGAAAGAAGTTTTTCGAGGTCGCTTTTCTTGAAACATGTTTTTATTCTTTATTATTCAAAAACAAAAAGTATCTAATTCGAAGTTACTTTGAATTTGTCTTTGATTGTACGTGCAGGATTACCCTCCACCTTTCAGAAAACAGAGGAGAGGTTTTTTCGATCAACATTTGTAACTACTATTTTTTTCCATCAAATACTTCTTGTAACTAAAGTCAGATTTCCTCCATGAAATACACTAATTCCCAATATAAAAAAAAGGTATCTAATTGATTTTAAAAGTAAATCATTGTCAATTTTATATTGAATTGTAGTAAGACATAAAGATTAAATCATATTAATTTTAAAATCTCGGAAATTTTAAGAAAACGCATATGGGATGACAATGGTTGTAATATATTCATTTATACAGTAATTTCCTGTTGCTGAGAATTAAGTATTTAGCTGAAATTTTTCCTCCATTCAAACCTGCTGCAATACTATTATGAGGAAATGCATGATATCGACAGAGAAAATGAAGTAAGTGAGCTGCAATAGTGGTTTTAATGAAAATTTCCCCTGATCACAACAGAATGTTCCCGAATTATCGGTCCGAATTAAAATATTTAATACTTCTAGAAAAGTTATAACTAATTATTTATTAAAAATATAGCTGTATATGCCAATCTCTCACTTTAAACTTGAATTCGTGAAAAAAAGAAGTTGAGGCATTAAATATATTATATCATAATATAAATAAGTTGTTGTTGTTTCTAATGCGACTTGCCACACGGGCAAGCCTACTTGGTGAAACCGAGCAAATTTAAGGCAGAGTGTGAGATTCTTGTTTTTCAGTGGCTCCATCCAATAGCCAAGAATTCGTCTTCAGCCACACACACGTCACAGCCCGTTTTATAGAGCGGCCCCATTCACTCGTCCATTCCTCCACAGATCGTAATTTGGACCTGAATTAGAGAACGATCGATCTCAATGCCAGTACCCCCAGAGGTATTGATTTGTTATGGGAACATGGAGGACTTTGCGACTAGACAGATTTAACGTGCATCAGTTACCATTTACAACGGCCGGCCGGCGGGGTTCAAACCCACGAACTCTCGGACATGGGCCTAGTGCCCTACCGACCAGATTATCCCGACCCAAATAGTACGTAAATAATCAAATAGAAGTAAGGGATGCCTTATAATTTATTAGTTAGGAAAAAAAAGTTGCAAAATAATTGAACGAGACTGATTTATAGCGTGTAACAAGGAATTAAGAAGAACTCACAAACTCTAAGATCTATGCATTAAAACAAGGAGCAAAATACATAGCTTTTCCAAGAATACCGAGATCTGTTATTATTTGAGTTCGTGAGACTGTCCATAATACTTGGTAAGAGAAACCACTGATGCAATAACAAGCAATGGTGGTAGCATTGTAGATATATCACAATACCCGTTGTTCAGTATTTCCTTTTCTAAACTTATTTCTATGCTTTGAATTTGAGGACGATTTAATTTTATTTTATCGATTGGAGGTAGGTATGAAAATACTGGTGAACGATACAAAGCTGGTAAATCCACTTTATTAAACTTGTTTACTACTGACTTAGAGCACAATTCTACGTCAGTAAAAAGTATATCTCTTACTTGAGGATTTTCCAATATTCTGAGACAATCTTTCGGTTTGAAATAAGCACCACTATCAATAAGCTGTTTGATGAACGAAATACAATCTTCCCCTTGAGAAAGAGCCCATTCTTCAGTTAAGTAGTTTAAAGGGGTGTCACCATTTGCATCAACAACATTGACATCCTTTTGGTGGCTTACGACGAGTTTAAAAAAATCAAAATCCCAAACACCAAAAGCTGACAGATGGGCAGCAGATTTATTTTCTTTATCATCGATATCAGTAAAACAAGTTATTTTATCCAGAATGCTTTCAGCATTCAGTGGATTTTCATCATCATACGAGACTAAACGTTCAATATATTCATGGATATAATAATAGAGAAATGTTCGACCGTCATTGTCTTTGATATCAGGATTTGCTCCTGTCTCTAATAGCATTATCATTATATCAGTGAGTTGATTTCTGCAGGCTAAATACAATGGCGTTTTACCTTCTTTATTTTTAATGTCTAAATTCGGGTTTGCTTCCAACATTTTGCTTACTGCCCAAGTATAACGTTCTTCAATAGCGAGATGTAGAGGTGTGTTTCCATCAGTATCTTGTATATCTGGCTTGGCACCTGCTTCAATTAACTTTTCAACAATATAGCACACTCTCATGCCCACGGCATCTCCTATTGCATAATGCAAAGCAGTTCAACCTTGCTTGTTAACAGCGTTGATTTCATCATCTTCCTTTATCAGAAATTTTAAAATTTCTTCATTAGCATTCCTATTCCTGAAATTTAAATCATAAAAGTCGTCTTCGTCTTTACATAAAAGCCTGTAAATGGCTCTAAGCGGTCTGAACATAGCAGCTAAACATAAAGGGGAAACCCCGACATTGGTTCTCGATCTTATGTTCGCTTTCTTATTCACTAGATATTTTACAAGCTCTAACTGTTGATTGTTAATGGAGTAATGCAAAGGTGTCCAATCATCTTTACTCTTTTCATCTACACTAATACCCATATTGAGAAACAACTCAACAACTTTCTTGTTACCATGACGCGCAGCAATGTGAATGGGTTTTTCCCCTTCTGAATTTATAATGTGAGGGTTGGCTCCCTTTTCCAAGAGGAAATTTATAACGCTAATTATGTCTTTTTCGGCAGCTATGTGCAGTGGAGTATTATTATCTGGTTCAAATGAGTTAGGATCTTGCCCAAGTTCAATAAAAGTTTTAATAACTTCTATGTGACCATTTTGAGCTGCAACGTGTAGAGGTTTGGCAACTCTCTCAAACATTTCATCATAATCAGCACCTTTTTCGACAAGGAGACTGACAATATCAACGGCCCCCTTCCACGCAGCATAGTGTAAAGGTTTCCAACCCTTTTTGTTCCGCTCGTTAAAATCAAGCCCTAGATTCAAGAAATACTCTATTACATTTTTGTGTCCATGTTTTGCAGCCAGATGCAACACGCTATAATTTTCATAAGTCTTTGCGTATATATTTACTTTATTTTGAACTAAATATTCAATCGTTTCTAATTTACCCCCTTTTGAAGCCCAGTGAAGCGGTGTCCATTCTTTACTGCTGGGCTCCTCAATGCTCATTCCAATAGAAATAAAAAATTCTATTATTTTAGTTTGTCCTTTTGAAGCAGCGATATGAATAGCTTTTCCATAATCACTGGATTCAACGTGAATATCAGCATGTTTATCAAAGAGATACTGAACCATTTGAAGAAAACCTTCTCGAGAAGCATAGTGTAAGCACGTCCAATGGTATTTCGTATTTAATTCATTAACATCACATCCTTTATTAATATAAAACTCAACTGACACCGTATGCCCGTTCTCAGCCGCCACATGAATAGGCTTTTGGCCATCATTACTTTTGCTGTTGAAGTCCGCACCATTATTAATTAACAGTTCAATGACTCCTATATGGCCGCTTTCTGAAGCATAATGCAATGGAGTCCAGCCATCATCATCTCGGGAATTTATTTTTAATCCAAGGGTGAGGAAATATTCTACAGCATTAACATTGCCCGATTTGACTGCAAAATGTAACGAAGACTCACCATATTTGTTTTTGGCATTTATATTAGCTCCATTTTCAATAAGATCGTGAATTACATCCAGATGCCCGTTTAATGCTGCAAAATGTAGAGGTGTATAGAAATTTTTATTGACATCTTGAACATTGGAACCATTATGAAGAAGGAAATTTAGTACATCTCTGTGTCCATATTTTGAAGAAAAATGAATTGCTTGATTACCTTCGTCATCAGCAGCATGAATGTTGGCTTTATGTTTTAAAAGCACCTCAACTGTTTCAAGCTTTCCCTTAGATGCAGCTAAATGTAATGAGGTGTAACCGAGTTTATTAATCGTGTCAACACCTACTCCTTTAAGTAAAAAATAATCTACAACTTTTTCGCAACCATTTTTCGATGCAGTATGTATGGGTTTCGTACCTGTATTAATATCCTTTGCATGGATATTAGCACCATTATTGACTAGATATTCCACAATATCCACATCATTGTTCAGAGCTGCACAGTGCAATAATGTCCATCCATTTTTATCAGTTTCATTCGCATCACCACCTTCACTGAAAAAAAATTCTAGAATGTTTCTACGACCAAATCTGGATGCAATATGGCAGTATTTCGATCCCATATAATAAGTTTCAGCACTCGCATTTGCTCCATTTCTGAGTAAAATCTTTACAATTTCTAAATGCCCTTTTTCTGCTGCGTAGTGTAAGGGTGTGCGCCCCTGCCTATCAGTTTCACTAACGCCAACTCCTTTTGTTATAAGCAATTCAATTATATCACATCGGCCAAACAGAGATGCTATGTGTATCATCTTACTGGAACTATCTTCGACTATGATTGCATTAGGATCAAGGCCTTCTTCTAACAGGCATTCAAATTCTTCAAGCATACCGTGTTCGATGATAAACATTGCTTCCTGTAATTCAACATCACAGAACTTACGTTTGTTTTCCATTTTGAAAGAAAAGTCGGCAATATTTTCACTCGTTATATTATGCAAATTATTCGGCAATAGTATGCAAATTTGATTTCAATTGTCAGCATATCTAAAAACAGAACCAACACTAATGGAAATGCGCCATTTTTCTTCTATTCGGTATATTCCTTTTTAAGTAGGAGTGATTACGTGGGTCATATTTTCAAGAAATATTTTTCTAACAAATTTTCTTTTTCTGTAAAAAAAGAAAAGAATAACTATTAGTAAAGGAAAATTTTTCACCTTCTCTAAAAAGAGTATCACTGGGACTAGGAGTAGGACTGGGCTATAAATCGATCTATCAATTCACTGACATATCGATTTAACGCCGATACAGCGACTTTCGTTCCAGGCGATGCATCAGAAATCTGATTTAAGCCGTCGAGTAAAGAAGACGAACGATATAGCGATACAAGACACGCAAGGATCTTCTCTTACGTTCCGATGCCAATTCGCGCTGTGGAAGACTATGTTCGTTTCGCTATGTTGAAACAGCCTTGACGGTAGAATCAGTTTTGAGAACATATATCGTGATTTCGCATGTTCGTTTTCGCGCCTCTTAGTTCTTTTCTTTTACTTTGTCGCGACTTGATATCCTTCCTTGTAGATTATTTTCAGTGGGATTGACTTTGTGATCGCCGTCGTTGCCTTGTTCTGAACGTAATCTATTATTGAAAAGAATATATAAAGAAGTGTTTCTTAATTAGGTAAATTATTTTTTTTAAACAAAATTTTTTTTAATTTTTAAATGTGAAAATTAATTTTGAGTAATTTAAGAAATTTTTTACATTATTGAATTTATTACAATCGGAAATCTAATTTAAGGTGCCAACAAAGAATTAAAATACAAAGTAATTAAATTTGTTATCTTTTATTTTATTTTAATTTATTAAAAACTTTTTGGATAAAACTTCTAATAATTTAATGGGTTTTTATTACTGATTTTTAATTTATAAACCTTTAGTTATTTTTATAAATAAAATTATAACAAAACTTGTTTTTCCTCTCTTGGATTTGGACATAAGTCAATCAACTTTGTTTATTCAAAACAATTAGTAAGGTTTACGANAAGTTAGTTGAGTTAAGACAAGTTAGTTGAGTTAAGACAAGTTAGTTGAGTTAAGACAAGTTAGTTGAGTTAAGACAAGTTAGTTGAGTTAAGACAAGTTAGTTGAGTTAAGACAAGTTAGTTGAGTTAAGACAAGTTAGTTGAGTTAAGACAAGTTAGTTGAGTTAAGACAAGTTAGTTGAGTTAAGACAAGTTAGTTGAGTTAAGACAAGTTAGTTGAGTTAAGACAAGTTAGTTGAGTTAAGACAAGTTAGTTGAGTTAAGACAAGTTAGTTGAGTTAAGACAAGTTAGTTGAGTTAAGACAAGTTAGTTGAGTTAAGACAAGTTAGTTGAGTTAAGACAAGTTAGTTGAGTTAAGACAAGTTAGTTGAGTTAAGACAAGTTAGTTGAGTTAAGACAAGTTAGTTGAGTTAAGACAAGTTAGTTGAGTTAAGACAAGTTAGTTGAGTTAAGACAAGTTAGTTGAGTTAAGACAAGTTAGTTGAGTTAAGACAAGTTAGTTGAGTTAAGACAAGTTAGTTGAGTTAAGACAAGTTAGTTGAGTTAAGACAAGTTAGTTGAGTTAAGACAAGTTAGTTGAGTTAAGACAAGTTAGTTGAGTTAAGACAAGTTAGTTGAGTTAAGACAAGTTAGTTGAGTTAAGACAAGTTAGTTGAGTTAAGACAAGTTAGTTGAGTTAAGACAAGTTAGTTGAGTTAAGACAAGTTAGTTGAGTTAAGACAAGTTAGTTGAGTTAAGACAAGTTAGTTGAGTTAAGACAAGTTAGTTGAGTTAAGACAAGTTAGTTGAGTTAAGACAAGTTAGTTGAGTTAAGACAAGTTAGTTGAGTTAAGACAAGTTAGTTGAGTTAAGACAAGTTAGTTGAGTTAAGACAAGTTAGTTGAGTTAAGACAAGTTAGTTGAGTTAAGACAAGTTAGTTGAGTTAAGACAAGTTAGTTGAGTTAAGACAAGTTAGTTGAGTTAAGACAAGTTAGTTGAGTTAAGACAAGTTAGTTGAGTTAAGACAAGTTAGTTGAGTTAAGACAAGTTAGTTGAGTTAAGACAAGTTAGTTGAGTTAAGACAAGTTAGTTGAGTTAAGACAAGTTAGTTGAGTTAAGACAAGTTAGTTGAGTTAAGACAAGTTAGTTGAGTTAAGACAAGTTAGTTGAGTTAAGACAAGTTAGTTGAGTTAAGACAAGTTAGTTGAGTTAAGACAAGTTAGTTGAGTTAAGACAAGTTAGTTGAGTTAAGACAAGTTAGTTGAGTTAAGACAAGTTAGTTGAGTTAAGACAAGTTAATTGAGTTAAGACAAGTTAATTGAGTTAAGACAAGTTAGTTGAGTTAAGACAAGTTAGTTGAGTTAAGACAAGTTAGTTGAGTTAAGAAAAGTTAGTTGAGTTAAGACAAGTTAGTTGAGTTAAGACAAGTTAGTTGAGTTAAGACAAGTTAGTTGAGTTAGTTGGAGACAAGTTTTAATCAATATTGACTTAAAGGTCATCATATGTAGTTTTCGATGTACCGAGAATCTGAATTTTAATTATTTACTCAATTTTAAATTGTTTCATGAAAAATTTTAATCCATAGAGACTACAGCAGTGAAACGGGTATTTTCGTGGTTTGATAAGAATGAAGCGAGAGCCATCTTGTTGTAAAAACTAAAACTCAAAAGCATTAGCATAAAATAGCAGCATTAAAGCATGGTGAATATTAAAGGAAGTTCTAGAGTCATCCTTAATGATGCATGCCGTCAAAACCTGTGTAAAAACTTTCAGATCACTGGTTCGACTGTTTGTTCAGAGAATTAGCACCATGACTGATAATTCAAGAGTTAAAATGTATTATTCAGGAAAAAATTCAAAAATTTCTGCATTATGTAATTGAAGATATTAGGAGAATTTGCAGGGGGTGTATGAAGGAATGCTGGTTATTTAAAACACATAATTAACGTGAAGGAAAAAAAAAATTTCAATTTTTCCGTTTTAAAATTTTAAGCATTTTAATTCATCAAATGTTTTTTTGAACTGTACAAATTTCAAGTCACTGGAATACTCCTCGAGCCAATCCATGATGATTCGACCCTTATGACATGGTGCATTATCCTGTTGGTAAACATCATCCCCCGCAGGAAAAACTGTTGCCATGAATGGGTGAACCTGGTCTGCAACTATGTTCAAGTAGCTTACAAACGTCAAAGGTTGTTCTATGAGGATTATGGGTCCTAATGTGCCCCATGAAAACATTGTTCCTGGGCGAGAAACCATGAAAATCTGGGCGAGTCTATTGTTATAGATAGAGGGTGGTCATAATGTAATGGCTCTTCGGTATAATAAATATATATATATATTTTAAAATACAAACATTTTAAAATTTTCACCACAAAAGAGCTGGAAGTAAGTGGCGTTGCATATGAACTTTTAAATCATTTAAATGTAGTGATGAGGGAACAAAGTTTAAATGAATTAAAAATAAAACAATAAAGCATAAATGTGGCTACCACTAATTTATATTATTTTACAAAAAGCGTAGAAAGTTGGTACGACCCCTGGTTAAATACAATATGTTATCGAAATCTTTTTGCTAAACTGTATATAAATTAGCAGACTACTTAAACAGAAGCATCAGATTTAATAATTTAAAGAAAGAAAACTATATAGAAGCAAAACAACGATAAATAATGAGAATGAAATTATACTAGGCTTGTCTTAAGCAAAGTTCCTCGTAAGTGTACCAAGTTTAGGCATTAATCGCTTCATGTAAATATTTTTTTTAAATTCTTGTCCTTATATAGAATCAAAATTTACAGTAAGTTGCTACCCTCAAATTTTAAAGAATAAAAATCCAAATATGTTTAAAAAAAATTATTCAGAGAAAGTGCATTTTTGTGTCTAGTTTCACAACTTAATTACCAGCTAGCACTAATTAATTAGCATATATGATGTCATCCCCAGAAACCATTAAGATATACACTTAGTACGCAAAAATCCAATCATTAGAAGGAAAGTTATTCATTGTCATATCTTTTTTATCTTGTGCACTATACACTTAGTGACACTTAAAGATTACTGAACACTCGCTTTTTTAGAGTTTTCCGGCTATAATAAAGCTTCCAACTTTTAAGAATTTTTTTGATATTTTATTTAAAGTCGTAACAAAATTTATATGTTTGCCTGTTTTTAATTAATAATTTAAATTTAAAACTATTTGTATTATTAATACGTTTATGAATAAATTAAACATATTCATGAAAGATATAGTAATCCGACGATGGTGTTTTTAGTTTTGGGCAAAATGAACAAAACACTTTTGCCCACAATGGTAATTCAAATGTAATCTTATGTTTTGGAAAAATCATTTTCAGGAAGATTACAAGTTGGCAGATGTGTAACAGCAAAAATTCCATACTTGTGATAAAGTATGCTTCGTAAACTACAAAAATTGAAACTGGATAGTATTTCTTTTGCAGTATGCGATGAACTACCGTTTTTTAATTTTATAAAAATGTTCGAAGGTCAGAACTATGAATGAAAATTTTGTCTACAGACATTTTTAGCAATACTAATTCAATGACGTAGCTACGCTATCTACGTTGATCATTGGGATTTAAAAAAATATTTAAACATTAAAGAAAGTGAAATAAACTCAAACAGAACTGCCTATGCCTAATTAAAAAACTTCATTTGCTTCAAAATTATACGAAATGAAAATAATAGTAGAGAAGTTTCAAGCGCTCAAAAATTGGAGCCCATTTTCAAGACTTATCAGAAGTGAATGAGAAGAAATAAAGGTGATTTCAAAAATAAAAAGTTTTGTATTTTAAATCACTTGTTTTTTCTCAATCGCGTCTGACAAGTCTTGATAATTAGCGGCTATTTTTGAGTGCTTAAAACTTGTCAACTGTTCTTTCCATTTCGTATATTTTTGAAGCGAATGAAGTATTTTTTTTTTTATCAAGTATGGAACAACCGTTTTCTTGGGATTCAATAAGGAACTGTCTATAGTTTAATTTATAACAAAGGCTAATGCAAAACCAGCACTAAAAATTCACTTTTCAAACATTTTTTATGAACCTACTGATTGAAATTGTTATACGATTTATAGGATCGAGGACCAATATGTGACCTTTGTGATCGATGTCCGAATTTCAGGCCCGAGGCGCAAATTCTTTTGGAGATTCAAGAGAACGTTTCGACTCAAGGATAGACAAAAGTGCTTAGTAAACACCGAAGAAAAGTTTAATAAGTAAAATTTGAGTTTCTCTCTTAAAACTCCAGAATAGTTTATACTAAGATTCCAAAAATTGAACAGACGTACATAACGTAAGCCCCTGATGCTAAAAATTCATTTAGTTTGTTTACGAGGAATGTTTGAAAAATGATTTTCTCAAATGAGTTTAGCATTAGACACAGCAATAAATTAAACTGCTCAACTTTTTTTCAACTGTTTAAAAAATAAGACGCTTGTAAGATTTCCCCCAAAAATAGTTTATTGCACGGTTTTCAATAATTAATTATTTTTATTCGTCATGTCATTTCATCTCACGTATCAACGCGGAAAGCATGAGAGAGCTATGTCAACGAATTAATGGCTCAAAAATTTGCGTAGTTTGCTTCTGATTGCGCTTTTAAAACTATCATTTCTACAAAACCAAATAATTTAAAGTCTAAATAATAACTGAATAGTTAATTGAAATTAAAACATAAATAAATTATATTCTAATGTCCTAAGTTAATGGAGATCAAACTCTTCAAGTTATTGTAGAATCTCTCAGTGATGATACTATATGAACATATTGACACCATTGATAACTTAGCTAAATTGTTTTACTAGTATTGTTAATAGCTGCTGCTTTAACAAATGTTAAATTCACGAGTATAGGCATTTAATGTGGCCTATAGTACTAGATTTTTTTTCTACTATTAAGTTCCGGAGAATTAAATTAAAAGCATAAACGTAAAAAAATTTCCAAAGTGTTATTGACGCCAAAGATGATTATTTTCGTAACTATGCAATACCGGAGTTATTGTAATTGGTGCAATTTCAATCGGAACCAAATATATTTATATAAGTACAAAGTGTTTTAATAGTATATTTGGTGCCTATTAAAACTGCACCAATACTGTGCATTTTTATTATAGATACCGTGGAAAAAAGTTTATTAAGACCTCTCGAAGATATTACTGCAGATAATTTCTTGAATGCGGTTAATTTAAAACGTCACGATTTGACCTCGAGCAACAGCATTGTGCCAGATGGTACCGAATAAAGACGATCTTCATTTTTATGGGCCGAATTACTTAAAATGTGTTTTGCTAAATCTAATAACGCAAAGTTACAGGGAAGGCCAACGAATAATAATAAATACAAAAGACACTCAAATTACTTTAGCTTTACTAATTGTTTCAGTTATTTGTCTTTCAGTTTTGGGCAGGATTTTGATACAGTAATTCTATTTTTTTCCACTCCTTACGAGAAACGAGTCTTCAGCTAGCAATAAATAAATGGAATTATTTTTGTTTCGGCAATGGTGGTATTTTGCTTGATTCGTCATTGGAAATTGATTATTTACTACTTTTATTCCCTATGAATAACTGGTATTCAATTATTAAAAATCGATAATCAATAATATTAACCATGCTATATGATGCACATAGCTGAAAGACACTTATTGGAACAACTAATAAAGCTTAAATGAATTGAATTTTTTTATTTCCCAGTTATTTAATCCTATTATGTTTAGCAAAACAAGCTCATCTTAATAAAATCTCCGAGAACGATGCTATTAGTCGAAGCCAAATCAAGATGTTAAAAATTTATCATTAGAAAATGAAATTGTTTCCATTATTTTTGCTCTTTAGTACGCAATTTAGTTAAACTAACTCCAATTTACCATTGGTTTTAAATTGTTTATTTCCTAGAAATTAAATACTAGATACTTAACGGGCTTCGCTTATTCAAAATGGAAGGGAAAGAATATGTGCTAAATTAAACAAATGACACATTTCAACAACCAATCTGGATTGAGATTCCCCCATTACGTCATTTACAGGTATTCCATTGAGTAACAATAAACAAAACAAACGCATGACTTAAATACTAATTCGATGCAGTAGTCATTACGTGTCTTCTAAGCTTAATCCTTGAGCTCACAAGACATACTGAATAAAAAGTACTTTATCAAATAATTGATTATTAAAGAACATTCCAGAAATTCAGTTTTTGATTAAACCTATAAGTTAGACAACGTTGTGCTGTCTTAAATATTTGGAAGACAAACAGAATTGCGTACTTGCACTTCAAGAAGATCACGGATATCCACACATAACCTATGACGTCAGCGCAAGCTGATCTTTTATAAGCAAAATGGCGAGTAAAAGTTAAGCTAAGTTTCTCCACTTAAGTTAGAATGCTAATTTACGTGATGTTAATTAAATAAAAAGCTGAATCACACATCAAATTCGTTGAAATAGAATACTTTCTCTCTTACGTCTTTTACTTAACTTTGCTTTATTATTTGTTTATGTATTTTATTGTAACCGTATTTTTGCTTTGTGTACCTGACAATTTAGATGCATTAATTAGTTTTTAAGTTCTACAAGACTCCGTATGTAGAATGCTACACTTAAGAGAATTGATACTTGACGGGCTTCGCTTATTCGAAACAGAATGAAGAGAACAGTTGCTACCGTTAACAAATGCCACGTCTGAACAACTGATGAGGAACGAGATACCCACTTTACGTCAGTTGCAGGTATTCAACAGTTAATGCTTAATGGTTAACCAACAATAAAAATTTTCAAACAAATTCATCCCCCGTAACGGTCTAATTCCTTTTTGTGAACTATTTTTAGATGGAAGCTGAAAACTCCTCCTGCACCGGCCGTTCGAATATCAAGACCCTCGCACAAGCATTTCTGAACGCATCCTTCCTTTAATTATAATTCAAGATGTTTTTTCAAACTGTCATAAAATTCCTTATTGGTTCCATTGGAATGTAGAAAAAATAAGCATCAAATATTTTAAAATACTGTAGCATGAAAAACCACTACAATTATTCAATTCCCACTCACTAGTATATAAGATTATGTTAACTACAATTTCTCCTGATCTTAATTTTGATAGATGTTCGATAGCCAGCCATACAATACAATGTTGATTCTCGAAGTTTCAATTGATAGTTAATACAAATGCGAATGCAAATAAATTTTTCCGCATTATAATGCTTTTAGTAACTAATTTCAACACTAAATTGGACAACCATATTTATATTTTAAGCAAAGTCAATCTTAAAAAAGAATTTGATAAACACAAATGCTTTACACATTTAGTTTTGATCTAAATTTGAGAAGATCTTTTTCTTATCAGAGGCAATTTATTTAAGTAAGATAAATTAAGACTATACTTAGTATTTTTTAACGTTTGAAGAATACTACCTTCTTTTTCAATATTTAACACAAACTAGTTTTTTATTTTCCATTTGCAGTTTCAGAATTCAAAATACCCGATTACAAATATTCAGCAGTCAATGCAAAGCATATAAATAGAATTTGTTATATTAAATAATAATTTTGGATTACTAAAATTTACATTAAAGTTTTATTTTTATTGTAATTGTTGAACATTAAAAAAAGTTAAATAACGAACTAAAATTGCCCGATAAATTTTCAAACATATTCTAAGAAAATTATTAAGTAAAAGATTATTTTAATATATGAATTTCGTTCAAATTAAAAATAATTTTAAACTTCAATACCGTAAACTTACCTCAGCTAAATTAATATAGAATAGAGAACGAAATTTCAGAAGCGTACTTTGCGAAGATCTTTAGTGGCTCGAATGTTAGATTTCGCTTAACATAGACATGCTGAAAATGAAACACTACAAATGTCAACACGAAGACAAAATTCCTTAAGAAAAAATATTTTCGAAAAAGCAATCCAATTAGTGCGCCAACAGTTTAAACTCTCTCTCGTTCGTAAAAAGTTATTATACGTGTTTCATGGATAGAATTCCAGTTTTCAGTTGCGCATTAATCAATAATCGCAATATTTTTTTCTAAAAGTCCTCGTGACGAAATTATTGGTTTATTGGAATTACATACATTTGCAGGCTTGTGTGCTCAATTTAAGCTAATAAATCTTTGTCAGTAGAAAGACAGATAGCACAATACAGAGATTGTTGTTGTTAATTTACGTCGCACTAGAGCTGCACAATGGGCTATTGGCGACGGTCTGGGAAACATCCCGGAGGATGATNCTTGACTTCGGTGATCTTCTGGGAACCGTGTCTTAACGATCAGTCCACTGCGGGACGTCAATAGAAAGACAGATAGCACAATACAGAGAAGAATAGCACGAAGATACATCCTGGGTAACAGCGGGATACGAACCCACTACCTCCACGTTTTCCATAGCGTTTGACGGGAGATACCGCTCGCCCCGGGAGGCCCGGACGAAATGATACAAGATCTATTTTAAAGCCTTTTGCATCATGAATGAGCTTATAGCTCTTATAGTAGAGAAAAAATTGCTTGCTTATCTGCTTAAAATGTCAAAAAGGAAGAATTTGCCATTAACCAATGTCATAGATAGAAAAATCCAACAGGGTGAAGTTGTGAACGAAAGGTTGATTTTGGGGGTTTACAAAGTAAACATTTTAAGACAACGTCATAAATAGCTACAGCTGCACGAAAGCTACATGTATTATTAGATCATATAACAAAGTGAACTAGATTAGCAGCAAATCTAGAATAGTGAATCCCATCCTGAAAACGGGAAGATAAAATCACTTCAGCATCTCCATTGCTTTGTCGTCTGATAACGATGATATTTGAGCTACATATCTAGGCAATATTGATCCGTTTATTGACATTGATAGATTTATTGCTATACATATGCAGGTTTGTGTGCCACTTACAAAGTACAGTATATAATTCATTGTCATGTGTAACAGGTACGTACTTTAAAGTACTTCGCGCACTAGAGCTGCACAATGGGCTATTGGTGACGGTCTGGAAAATATCCCTGAGGATTATCCATAGAGATGGCATCAAAAGTTTGTGAGGTCAATTACTCAATTTAGAGATTGATTTGAAGGTGAGGGAAATTTTCTCCAGCTACCTACACCTATTGTACTGCTCAGCGACCGACCATAGGACTTTCGATTCCACAGATTTTAAGAGCGCGCATATCACATGTACTCGTTGCGCAGCAGAGTCGAGGATCGAACCAACCGTTCCTCCGCACCCGAGTCGGATTTTCTAATTACTGGGTTACCACGACCTTCAAGTTGAACTACAGACAGCACAAGTTAGAGAAGGACATCGCCAAGATAAGTCCAGAGTTATGGTTAAACGGGAAAGTTTAACATTAATTTCATGTAAAATGACTTGGTTCCACGAAATTTTATTCGTATAAGCGGGTTATATGATTATCCAATATGCAATTATGTGAAGACGACTGCGTTTCAGAATGAAATAAATAAAAGTATTAAAAAGCAAAATTTTACTTTATGCAATTTAAAATACCACTTTTCCACAAAATGGCTCAACTCTACGCAATGATGTGACATTTTTGGTTGAAAAATTCATTACTACTGTAGAAGAATAAAGGAATTTTTTATTTTATATTTTATAACCGTCGTTGAACAGCCAATCCAATTTTGGGCTTTCGACTACTAATATTCAACTCAGTAGCCTTGTAATTTTAAACCTAATTCAGAAGACAAGGGAACTCCTTGATCAAGCATTGGGAGAAATTTTACCTTCGTGGAGGACTTTTTGATGGAGCTAATCCGCACTTGCGTTTCATGGAGAGGAAGATCACAAGAACCTCCCATTGTTTGCCTGACAGCAAGGTCCAAGATCCGTCCACCACTCAGAATCTTTTGCATCAGTACAGTGGTCGGTGCGAACCAGGAGCGGAATTCGTAACGACCATCCATTGCTGTGATTCAATACCCAGTTCTCTCATTGGAAGGCGAACTCTCTATCCCCTCAGCCATCGCGGATCAGAATAAAGAAATTGCGATAAAAAACTGAACTTAAATATTTTTCTTTACGTTTGGGTTTAAGCTGTAGTTACTTTTCACGTAGTCATTATTTCCCTTTTTCCGCCATATACATAATATTTTAATAGCTAAGAGCAAATCTTTATATATACTCAAACCACTCCCTTTTCAGAATAACAGTAACACAACTTCTATATTTAGAACCAATTCAAATACCAATCAAATCGCAGTTTAGCCATTTTTCCTACCAAATAATATCAGAGGAGCCGTATAATCTCACTTTCAACAATAGCCCCACTTCATTAAGAGGACATTTGTAAGTGAAGGGCTCTCAATCAATGTTTTACCTAACACTTTGGGTATTATGAGAAGAATGGAGCTAAACTTCCTATACCTTCTATTCTCCCGGCCAGTTAAAGAATCAGAAACGCCCAGCTATTTGAAAGGTTCATTATTTTCGCGTGAATTGAAAAAGTTAAGAGTGTTTGTCTAAGTCACAGTAAGTGGGCGTTAGGTGGACAAAAGCAATAATTTGTATTCTCTTGATTTAGCGGGCTACCTGCAATTGATTTCAAGAGAGCCAAAATTGATTTCTTTTCATAAAAGAGTCGGATATGTTATAGAGAGAGAATTTATTTTTAAAAAAGAAAATATGAGTAGGGGAACTTTAATTAATTTAACATCTTTTGTGCCCTCGTATTTAGTTAAAAGGTTTATATTAGATTTCATACAACTTTCATGGATATCCTTTGGCGACGAAGTCTAATTTAATGTTGAGGTCTTATTAAATTCGACTTACAAATTTAGTTATTTGAATACATGAATTGGTTTTTCAATTGTAGATAAATTGTTCAGTGGGTAACATGATGAATATAAAAGCAATATGCTTAGTTTATGAATGGTGATAAAATAAGCGCATCTTATGAATTTAAAAAAAAAGAATAATTGAACGCGAAATATAGATGTTGTAGGATTTCAGATCATGTAAGATATAGATAGAATATTTTGAAGAAAAACAACTTCATATTTCTGAAGTACTCTTTTTACAATAAACGTAGTGATCATAAACCATTTGTTAAGCGTAAGTATTTTAGAGAAATACTTTTATTAGTTTTTATTTCGTGACTCTAACACGTGTGGTAAGATAGCCAGACTAAAAGCAAATCAACGAACAACTACTTTTAAGAGGATACACAAATTCATATTTATACAACAAAATAAAACATCCATTACCTATTTTACTTAAATAAATCGCCAAAGAAGGAGAATAGCCAATGAAAATATTACAACAATAGCCATATCTATTTTTGTGCTCGTAAATAATAGCGTATGATTTCCTAAAAGTTATCTTCATTGCCCTTAAACTATCTCTAGGGAATTTTTCAAAGAAGAACGCTTCGCGCTAAGTTTATTGAAAAAAGTTAATAAAACCTTCTTTATCACAAAATGGCTTCGAATTTATCATCATTAAGAAGAATTTAAGTTCTTTTTACGTTCCACAACAAAATGCTGCTGCTATCACTCTCTGATTTTTTTTTTCAGGAAGAAATAGGGAAAATGTTACAGAATCAGATTTTGAAACAGTGTAACGTAAAATTTTGAAGTGGATTCCAAAGAAACTTTTCTTAAGTAAAACTTATTTACTGTGGAACTTGAACAATCGTTTCGACCACTCAACTGTTCTACGAGTGATGTCATCTTGCAGAAAAGAATAAAAACTTTTCTACTTGGTTGGTTGCAGACGAATAAACTTGCATTTGTACCCATATATCCCTTTTAAATTTTTTTTTATGTTCTGCTAACTTGGTTTTCTTCGGGGCATACTGATTTTTTAGGCGCTTTCAACATTACTAAGTGATGCAAGAATAGAAGTTGAAGTTGTTATCAACAGCTAGAGAAATGCTTTTAGCCCTAAGGCCTAAGTTTTAGAAGTAATCTTATTTCAGCAGACGATTTTGACTGAAGAAGAAGAGAAAAGGAGGAAGAATGGAACTTTTTTCTGACTCTCTGACAAGATAAAACATTTCTTTTGGTAAAAGAAAGAAGGATTTTTTACGGTGAAAAAGAAGACAAGTTAGGAAGTTCTACGTCGTTAGGAGAAAATTATGCTAAGTTCTATCTTTATCAATGTAATTGAAATTTTTAAAGTATCTGTTAAATGTGTAATTGCCTTGCACCTGAGTTTTGAATAAATGCCAACTTAGATACGACTTCTGCAATGTTCTTTAAGACTTGTTCTTTTTTTGTTGACTTTTTGGCTTTTTTTTTCCAGAATTCTCCATTTAAATTTTTGAGATAATTAAAAAGTGGAATTCTAAGGTTAACGTTGATATTATTCAATTGAGTTCTATTTTTATCTCATTTAATAGTATCTTTCATATAGCTTTATCTAAAAATAGTTCATTTTTTATTGAAATTTGTCTTTACTTGCGATTATTTTGTTATGTTTACGACGTTCGCGGAAGTTCTTATATCTGTATATATATTTGAATTAAAGAAATTTACCTTGTATCGTAAAATCACACTCATTGCGGTATTTTTAGACAACATGAAAATTCGTTCAATTTAAAGAAGTCTAATGTAGATCTAATGTAATCTGTAACATTAGATCTGCATTAGATTTCTAATGTAGATCTGTAGTCTAATGTAGACCTGGTTTCAAAAATTTTAAAAAAATTTAAAGAATTTTTTACTGACTGAAACGATTGATTTTTTATTAACTTTTTCATCTGTTTCAATTTCAACATTTTAATAGACAGACAATTTTGACAAAAGAGAGCGTATGTTCAAACAAAATCACGAAAGCCTTTCTATCAGATATGCTACTTCCTGCGTAACCGTATACACTATATTTTATGAACCAATAGAAACCAAGAGAAACTTATAATTTCTATATTAAAACCTGTGGTTTTTAAAAAAAATTGCTTCTACAGAAAGAACATCATTGGAACATCATTGTACACCACTAAAGTTCC